ACCGGCCTGAAGAGCGCCTGGTCCTCGCAGACAGAGGCCCCGTGCACTTGCACGGCTGGCGGCGCGCAGAGGACCCCTGGCCCCATGACGTGCGTTTCTTTCATAGAGGCCGACGGGTGGCCACCATGGTCTTCACCAGGATCCTCCCCGGCCTCGGCGACGAGTCGCCAAAGACGGGAGCCTGACAGCCTCTGACTCTGAGCCTCGGACCCCAGCTTGGCCTCCAAGAGCTCGAACCAGAGATGGCCCAAAGGCGGCGCGGCCTCGGCTCGGGGCGGTCCGCTTGGGCGGAGCCGGGACCATCCCACACCCCCCGAAGCGCCTGCAACGTAAAGCTCGCCAGCTCCCGCAAAGACGCCCGGCGCCTTGCGCCGCGCTCGTACTTGCGCCAACGGGTTCCGACACAAAAGGGCTCCTTGAATCCAAGGTGCCGAAGCGCCTGGGCCAGCGCCTTCGGTAAGCTGTCTCTCGGCGCGCGGCTAATCTCTCTCGGCATGTTTGCAGTCCCGGCACGCAGCTGCAGGCCGCCAGGAAAGAGGAGCTCAAGGCCTCCCCAAGCAGGCCCCCAAGCGCTGGGGCGCGTCGCTCGCAGCCGGGCCTTGGTGCAGAGCGGCCGCACCTTGGCGGAGACTCTGGCGCGGAGCCCTCTGCACAGAGCACAAGGCCGCGCCTTCATCTGCCGGTCGTACCACTGTGCCACTTCCATGGCAGGTGCTTCAGGACCCTGATGTCACGCTTTTACAGGCTTGGAGCCTGGGTCATATGCTGGGAGTTGCATGAAGCAGGAGCTGCACGCCTGGCGAAGCTTCTGCAGAGGGCTGCTTGGCAAGCAGTTGAAAGGCTTAGGCGCGCGACTTTCTCTTGCAAGAGGGGGCGAATTTTTTCGCGCGGGTCTCTGTGTGTTTTGTGCTCATCACCTTCCCTTTTGGAGGGACTTCTGGAACTTCCTGGCCTGCTCCTCTGTCATCACGGAGTCGGAGGAAGCTCCGGCGGAGGCCCCGGAGGCGCCGGAAGCGGCGGAGGCCATGCTCGGCCTCTGTCGCTTCATCTGCAAGGCGTTCGCTTGCCTCTCGGCTTCCTCCCGTTTCTTCGACAGGAACTTCCCTTCCTCCTCCTTCTTCACGACGGATCGAGCTTGCGGCTCTCGTCTGGAATTGAAGACCACGGTGAAACTCACTTCATCTCCCACTTCACAACGGTGCGCTTGCCGTGCATGCAAATACACGTCTTGACCGGTGCGGTTGTAGATCTCCGGGCAGAAGATGAAGCCATGGCCTGTGTGCTTCTCACCATAAAAGCACTTCACCGTGCCATCGTATCTCTTCTCTTCATGCTCAGCTTGCTCCCCCTGAGGGTTTAGGGGGACAGGGTGGCCGAGCATCATGTTGGAAACCATCGACGGCGGCCAGCTTGCGAGACTCATCATCTGCAGGACCGGGGCCGAGAAAGGAGAAGGGCCAGTTGAACCAGAAGGGCCGCTAGGGCCATTTGAGCCGCTAAACAAGGCCCCAGCACCAGCTGGCCCCGTGGCCTGGTGGCTCCACTCCTGGTGGCTCCACTGGGCCCAGTCATCATTCATTCCCACTGTCACTGCCCCTGAAGTCTTCAAGGAGCGCTGCCATTGCCCTGTGTGGAAAGCTTTGAGCCCTGGCTGCGAAGAGCAAGGCCAATGACGCACAAAGCTGCCGAAGTGCTGCCACGCTCAAATTTCTGCAGTGTGGGGCCGTACTTGCCCAGATTTGGGAAGTTTGGGGTATTTTGACCCTGCCCACGGTGAAATGTGATACCTGCCGATGTTTTCGCATTTCAGTCTTCATCCGGAAGACTTTCAGGCACTATCTATCCCGTACTGAGGCCACATTGTCAACGTCACAACCACCGCTTCGACCGCAAAGCTGAGTTGGTCAGTTAAACAGTACAACTCTAAGCGGTCACGCTTTTCTCTCGTTGAACCAAAA